CGAATTTGTGTATAACATACACTTCCACTAGTCTCTTTCCAAGTTCAGTCAAAAACAGATCATTTGCGTTGAAAAAAAAGTATTCATGAGATATGAATTATTTATGAGTTGACCTCAAATGATTACAAATATTCAAACTTAAAAGATCTGAATTTACAATTCATTCTTATAATTATCACTTGAAGTACCCTGATTTTTTTGACAAGCTCAACTACTGCATTTTCATTATGTTCATTACATGTATTTTACGTTACACTTCATTTTCCTAGGGTTAGTACCGGGTAGCTATCTTAGNCATTTTCATTATGTTCATTACATGTATTTTACGTTACACTTCATTTTCCTAGGGTTAGTACCGGGTAGCTATCTTAGAAATTAGTGAAAAATAAATGAAGCGTGCAAGTGGTAATCATCGTCAAAGCTTATGGAGTGAAACTTAAACTATCAAAATAGAAGATGGAGTGAGACTTAAACTATCAAAATAGAAGTTTCCTGTACCAGGTCCACTGGTAATGAAAGCCTTCCCCTCCCCGCTAACCCAACTAAATTACAAAAATAATGTTATTTGGACATAAAAATTTAATTTAATTTGTTAACATAATGACGTGATTTTATAAAAATTATTGGATCAAGACTAAATTCTAATGTTTAATGGGTTCTATAATCAATCCAAAGATCATAATGAATTAAGTCAGTAAATTAAGTCCTTAGAACATTATTCAAATTACAAAGCACACAAACAAAGAAACAAATGAAACTGAAAATATTTTAAAGTAATATTCCAATTAACATTAGAGGATTTCGTATTCAATCAGAAAAATGCGACGCTTCTCCCACATCGCTCTCTCTCTCACTCTACGTGGTGAGTTTTGGATTCCAAAGCTCCACAGGATTAACAATCCAACCTCCTAGACTCGAGAGCATGAAATATTATATATATATAGGGGCGGAGCCACCTTATGCCCACCCTAAATTTTTTTTGTTTAAAATTACTTATATATATATTTCATGTATTTTTTTAATATATTAAATTGTGCTCGCTCTATTTTTTATTCAAGATTAAAAAATACATGATATATCTATGAGTTTACTAATAATTTTAACATTTATTTTAGTAATTATCACTGATNTCGCTCTATTTTTTATTCAAGATTAAAAAATACATGATATATCTATGAGTTTACTCATAATTTTAACATTTATTTTAGTAATTATCACTGATATGATAAAGAATATATTTTACTGTGTAATCGAATTAATGATAAGAGGATCTCCAATTCATTCTCTATTTCCTCTTTTTTTAGTTATTTTAGCTAGCCAAACCTAAAAAAACACTCCCCAATCCACACTTTATTTCCCATTTTACATAAAATATCTCTCTAAATGTGGAGAGCTATTTATCCTCTTTAAATTCTCTATCTACCTTTTTCTCTTTATCTCATTCTCTATATTTGTTGTATTCTCTTTAAATTATTGGAAGTTAGTGAAAATTGGACAAAATAGTTAACTAAAATAGAGAATGTGATTGGAATATATTTGTAACAATTGCTAACTAAAATAGAGAAAGTAATNATGTGATTGGAATATATTTGTAACAATTGCTAACTAAAATAGAGAAAGTAATGTTTAAATATATTTTGAATAGTTATTTTAGAGAGTTATGTTGAAGATGCTCTAAATAGCCACGCGATAATATGATTGTAGATATAAATAACAATAAAGTTAATGCAAGAATTTCAACGTATAAAAAATTATTGAAGTCAATTCTAAATAATTTTGATTAGAATTTATTTTGTTTTTTTGAAAAATTTGATTAGACCTTGTTTGGTAAAAGGATATAATTAACTTTTTTTTTTTGTCATTTGTATTTACTATACTTAGCAATTTTAGTTTTTTAAGTTTAATTAAATTTTAAGAATTAAATNTTTTTTTTTCATTCGTATTTACTATGCTTAGCAATTTTAGTTTTTTAAGTTTAATGAATTTTTAAGAATTAAATAAGATATAATTAAATATAAATGCATTATTTTATTTTTATTAAATGCAAGAAAAAAATTAAGCTTGTTAAGATATACAGTGTCCACCCTAGAACAATTTTCTGACTCCGCCCCCGACCCTATATAATAAAATAGACCATAAAACACAATGAGTACTTTATCCACATATCTATATAATAAAACAGCTCATAAAATACAACGACGACTAAGATCACTTGTATTTTTTGATCTAATAGTTTAACTTACAAGTCACATTTTAATCATAGTAAATTTGTCCGTTTATATTATAATCACAATAAATCTGTCAACTTATATTTTAATTACATTAAATCTACCCCTTTATATTGTAACACACACATGATGCGACATAGAAATAACCTAGTTTATGATACAATATTAAAAATTAAGAGATTTAGGAATAGGACCAGTGTATTCCAATCGTTTTTTTTTAGCTATTCAATGTTCAAGTTAAACAGAAAAACAACCAATAGACCCGATTGCTCTATAAGTTATCTGAACCAGTTGATCTGCTACCTATCAATTGTGATAAATTTACCACACCAAAACTACCCAATTTCTTACAAACTCCAAACCAATCATACGACCCTTCACCATAGTCCAGAACGTGATTTTTACTCGGTCAGACTGATGCATCCAAGCTATGTACGTAGTAAAATTATTGCAAACTGGTATATTGTGAAACTATTATTTGCGATAATAATTTCTTTATATTCATTATATCAACTGGAAAATCATAGAATAAAGGGACGGTGACATGGCCACACATTAATTTCAAAAAATGGTAATTAAGAACCAATTGTTGGCTTTTATGACCCGAATTGATTTTTCCCATCGTATGATATGAAAGTTAATTTTGATATGTTCAATTCAACCAAGAAGTACTTGTCATTAACAATAGCTTGTTTAATAATCTCATTGAATAAAATTCTTGACTTTGCTGTTGTTTAACCTCATAGGATAAAATCTTGGTTCCATCTCTGGCCATGGGATGCCATGATGGTGCCTGTAGTGGTCGTGACGAAGGTGATGGTGCTGATCATGGGATAGAAGTGGTATGGTGGTGATGATGGTAGTGTGTGGTGGTGGTGATGGGCACAACGCTAATGGTAGCTGTGGGATTTAGGGTGGCAAATGTAAAAACAAAAAAAAAAAAAA